ATGTCCTTCTCGGATATAGTGACTGCGACCATTTTCATAAGTTCACAACAGGAGACAACGCTCCGTCATACCCTACCCTTATTGTGAGTCAGCTTTTTGCGAGCACTTAGAAAATGGTAATTTTCTTCCGTTCTTATTCTTCCTGTTTTGCCCCAGCAGGACGCATCTTATCTTAAGCACACATTTTTACAAATAGAACATAATGGTGGCTGACGTAGACTTGATATTCTGGGCTTGAGGAGAGAGTGAAATTCGGGAGTGGGGCCATAGCGCGGCTTACTTAGTACTCTACACTTTGCTGTCTGTGGCATCAGTGGGCGTCTATCTGGAGAACACCGGAGTAAACTGCAGTCAGTTCGTGCTCCGTGCGTTTTTGAACGGCACCAAGAAGGGTACACACGGCGAACGTGCGTTTACATTTCCCTGTTTTAACCGACGTTCTACTTAATTGTTGTTATGAGTGTCCTTCTTTTTCTTTTATTTCTTATATTGATATACTGGAAACTTTTTTTATTCACCAACGTCTCAAGTGAGGCTCGAACTGTTCAGAACCAAAGGAAGAAGAATATCGAGCCAAACCTTATTTATTATTTAATTATCAGCTTACTGTTACAACTATGTTTTGCTATTGATGACTTCTACAGCTTCGCGATTTAGAGAATGGGGAATTTTAGTAGATCGGTCCGATGACTCCGATAACGATATCCGATACTTCGCCGCCGTCTTTGCGTATGTATCATATCATTATCGGCTACCGTTATCGCGCGTATCGGAGGTATCTGAAGGATCTACTAAATCTCTCGAATAGCAGGCAACGGCTGCAACGACGAAGCTTTGCTCTACGTTCGAAATAAATAGTACTTTCCTTGCTTCGCTGAAAAAGCTCAATGCAGAGCATGAAGCATTCGTGAGGAACAATATGGCACTCCCATCCAGTGCCTCAGCTCAAATGGTGTTCAGCGTAGCAGTCGACATATTGAGCAAGAGATAATGCAAAATGTCTGACGAGACATTCGAGAGCCAGCTGTTGCTCAAAATACTCTAGGTCATTAAAAGGAAAAGGTTGCAACAATAAGAGCTTGAATAAACCTCTTCCCTTTGTCTCTTACTTAAGGACAATAATGTTAAAAGTAACGCCACGAAAGTAACGGATTACTTTTTGGGGTAACGGTCAGTTACTTTCACGGGAGGGTAATTGTAATTGTAATAAATTACAATTTAGCCTTGAGTAATTGTAAATGTAATTCCTTACTATTTTTCAGTAACGTGTACAAGTCTGATTACACTAAACTCGGTCCTAAAATTTCTCCACCAGATAACCCGTTATTCGCGACTCCAGCGACCTATAGGGGGCGCCACCACCAAATAAACATGGCGGCTGAGTCCAGGTCGCGTCGGCTCGGCCGGGCCGCCTGAACAGGTGGTGCGTTCAATTTAACTGATTTTATTTTGTTTAATGCCCAATTTTATAGGTATTTGAACTGAGACGGTTAAGTGTAGCCGGTGCACATAAACTTGCAGAGCATAATTTTGTTTTCCAATTGTGTTTTTTGTTCTTTTCATGTCAAACTTTCGTTTCCGAGATTTCGTTCGAAACCGAAACTATGGGCTCTGGAGAGACGGTAATATACTAATCAGCTTTGATCATCTAAGGCAAGCGGCAATGAATGCAGAATTCTCCCACCGACAGTAATTTTCAGCCAACTCGCATGCCTCGACCATGCGACTTATCTGTCCGCGAAATCGAGCTTTTGTGCATATCCGCGTTTAAGAAACAGCTTCAGTCGTATGCTCGGTCAACAACACAGGCTGCAGGAAAATTGCGAAAAATAAGCAAGCGCTTCTTGAGCCAAGGAGCATGTTACCCCGCCGGCACCCCACTAAGCCGCTGATACTCGTATTTCAATTCAGGTTTTAGTAGCAATCGTGAAGTCATTTTGACGAGCGGGTTATGTATTATATTACGTACTATGGGGGGGGGGGGGGGGGGAGGGGGTCTCACTAAAGCAATATTAGTATATTCTTCGGTTTGAAATATGAGCTTAGTTGACTAGCTATTAGGTGAACTGCTGAATAAAAATATATTTGACAGACAGAGAGATACTAAGTTAAACTTAACCAAATTGTTCTAGCCGGTAGCACGGAGACGAATGCGGACAAACTGAAGAGAGTCTTCATTGGAGATTCACGCAGAATCTCTCTGCATTGAACTTGACTTCGAATCCTGAACAGAAAAAATTAGTATTTTTGTGGTCGGTCAACCTGAGCAACGTAGACGTATATTGCTGCTGGCTTAATTCGACGGGTGTATAATATAAATATTGGAGGCGCGATAGGTCAAAATGCCGTGACAGCATCTAACGTTGCGAGACGTGTCCCCCCACCTTTTGAAAACAGATAATTCCCCTCATTCATCATTTGCAGCGAGCAGGTTTTCCTGAATCAAGTAATTGCGAAATCAGCCCAACTCCTTCAGAGTGGTCCAGAGGATTTTTTGGCGAAAAGCAGCCAAGATGAATAGCCAACGCACCGACCGGCGTGGGTGGCTCAAACTTGAAGCTAATCGAACACAATCAAACTCAAGAAAAGCAGCTATCGAACCTTCCCATTCACTTGACTGCAGCATTGGTGTTCCCTCCAGTGAAATGCCTCGTCTGTCGTCCTCCCACTGTTCTACATCCTGATAAAGAAACCCCTTATCGGTTACCAAGTAGTCGTCATTTTGAATGTGATTCGAGACAGACAAGAAATCAAAACGTTTTTTCCGCGATTCCTCCCCATCCAAGAAATCGAAAACACGTGATGGAAGGAAACAATCTACTGAAGTTTCGAGACACTAATGAAATTCCTGGACCTTCGTTAAATGACATTGTTCACCACCGCGCCGACAACACGTGCCCGCGAAAGCCACCAGAGGCGCGGAGGGGCGCGGAGGGGCGCGGAGCGACCTGGACCGGCTGGTTCCCGGTTTTCCCGCTTGGTGGCGTCCGTTTTGCTGGAGTCGCGCATATTGTCCTTGTAAGTAATTTTTTATCAATTTATTCATGTGCGGAGCGCTTCGCGACACACCTTTAATATGCCTGCTTTAAGTGCGCTTGAAACTGGGTTTTAAGGGCTTTCAGAACAAACTGATGAAATAATCGAGAAATCGGCTCGCAATCTCCACTCTGCGCGTGCCCAACAGCGTGCACTGGTTCGCCGAGTTTCTAAAAGAGTTAAATCGGAGAGCCTTTTGGCAGCATTCCCAAGAAGGGGTATACTGTACTTTAATGCATTATACCCCATTTTCTTGGAAGTACCTATAAATACTTCCAATGAGTGTATCCCTTCAAATGGAGAAAAAAATTTTTGACACGTGGTTACTTCTTTGTTCAAACCAGCGTTTTATTCAACCAAAGTTTATTGCTGAGCCCTCATGGTCGTGCAAAAAATTACTAAATAATTTGCGAAAAAAAAGAGAAAATAAAAAGAGCACAGTCAATAAAACCAGTTTTCAAAATAATAAACATAAGCAACAAATCTTACAAACTAATAACACACAAAGATATGACTTTCTTAACATTGCTGCTATTAAAAGACCTTAGTTATTTTATAAGTTCGTATATTTATGGTCATGACTAGGCCGACTTGTAAGGTACAGTGCTAATCACACTTGTCTATAACGCGCGGGCGTGCTGCTTTCTCCGGGGAGTGCTGGGCTGGTGGCATTCGCGGAAACTAAGCTAGTCACGTGGCGCAACATGGAACGGCCCGCTCGAGGGGTGTTCTGCCCACTCTATCAGCTGGCGGCGAACGCGGAAGGCTGCTCGCACGCTTTTTACAAACATCATTGCTCGAACAATAAACAGACTAAAGCATGATGGCGTATCAACGATGTCATCATCAAAAACCAAAAATATATCACAAAGCACTTTATTTTTATCGCTTATCAAGCTGATACAGTGGGCAGGACACCCCTCGAGCGGGCCGTTCCATGTTGCGCCACGTGACTAGCTTAGTTTCCGCGAATGCCACCAGCCCAGCGCTCCCCGGAGAAAGCCGCTCGCTTGCGCGTTATAAACAAGTCTGATGAGCACTGTACATAAGTGACCTTACAGACATCACAGAAACTTCAGGTGCATCACGTGATTAATGACTCTAAATGAATAAAAAAAGATAAGGCTTCAAATATTTTCTTTTTTTCGTGTACAAAAAAGTGAAAGCCGTTTACAACTCTCTGTAATGCCGAATTGGAGGGCAGCTCTTGAGGAGGAGGAGGGAAGGGTACTGAGGGCCGCGTGTTCTCGAAGGGGGGGGGGTCACGTGACCCCCCCCCTCGAGGTCACGTGACCTCGGGGTGGGGAAATTTCCCCGCTAGACTTGGCGGGGAAATTTTTCCCGCTAGCTTTAGCGGGGAAATTTTTTCCGCTAGATTTAGCGGGGAAATTTTTTCCGCTAGATTTAGCGGGGAAATTTTTCCGCTAGATTTAGCGGGGAATTTTTTTCCGCTATTTAGCGGGGAAATTGTTCCGCTAGATTTAGCGGGGAAATTTTTCCGCTAGATTTAGCGGGGAAAATTTTCCGTTAAATTTAGCGGTGAAACTTTTCCGCTAGATATAGCGGGGAAGTTTTCTCGCCAGATTTAGCGGGGAAATTTAACCATAATGCACCGCGCGGTTACGCCAACGGCGACGTCGCTCAAGCCGGAAACGGGCGCCTAAGAGCTGCGCTCTAAAAAGACCTCTGGTCGCTTCGTCTAAGGGAAATTCACATTTTTTATCTGTGTTTGCGCAATAAATAACAGGCTGAAACATTTTGAACTGTGAAAAACACACACTGCTTGCAAGTAGAACCGCTGCAGGTCTATCGCCAAGCCAAATGAACACACGTCGGTGCTAGAGTATTTCGTTTAAATCCCTTCCACAACTATGATGCACGTCGCTGTTTCGATAACTTGCGATGTATCTTCCGATGAGCGTGTAAATTGCTATGAGCCGCGAACGCTCTACCACAGGTCTCACACTTGAACGGCTTCTCTCCAATGTGAGTCCTCTCATGATTCGCCAAGCGAGTTTTCTGAGTGAACGCCCTGCTGCACCTGTACGGCTTCTCTCCGGTGTGACCCCTCACATGCATCGTCAAATCGCATTTCTGAGTAAACGCCCAGCTGCACGTGTTGTACTTGAACGGCTTCTCTCCGGTGTGAGTCCTTTCATGATTCGCCAAATTGGTTTTCTGAGTGAACGCCCTGCTGCACGTGTTGCACCTGTACGGTTCTCTCCGGTGTGAGTCCTCACATGCCTCGTCAAATCGCATTTCTGAGTAAACGCCCTGCTACACGTCTTGCACTTGAACGGCTTCTCTCCCGTGTGAGTCCTCTCATGAATCGCCAAATGGGTTTTCTGAGTGAACGCCCTGCTACACGTGTTGCACTTGAACGGCTTCTCTCCGGTGTGAATCTTCTCATGAACCGCCAAGTTGCGTTTGTGAGTAAACGCCCTGCTACACGTGTTGCACTTGAACGGCTTCTCTCCCGTGTGAGTCCTCTCATGACTCGCCAAATTGATTTTCTGAGTGAACGCCCTGCAGCACGTGTTGCACTTGAATGGCTTCTCTCCGGTGTGAATCTTCTCATGAACCGCCAAGTTGTGTTTCTGAGCAAAGGCCCTGCTGCACGTGTTGCACTTGAACGGCTTCTCACCGGTATGAGTTCTCTCGTGATTCGCCAATCTGGTTTTCTGAGTAAACGCCCTGCTGCACGTGTTGCACTTGAACGGCTTCTCTCCGGTGTGAGTTCTAACGTGAACCTTCAAGTTAGACTTATCCGTGAACGTTTTCTCGCAAACATCACAACTGAAGGATCTCTCTCCAGTGTGAGTCCTCTCGTGGATGGCGATACCCGCTGCAGAAAGACATGAGTGAGGACAGAAGCGGCACCGGTGCTTGTCCGGGTTTCGGTGCGTTTGGAGCTTTTGTGGGTTGGTTGGGGGAGAGGTGTCACCCCTGCAGCTGTCCTGGTCGAAGGTATCCACTTTGTCGCCAGAGTATGCTTCGATCAGGTCTGTTGGGATGACAGGACAAAGCAAGAAATGTCGGCGCTGTTTTTGTTGTTCTGAACATGGGAATTTTGAGTACCTAGATGAACATGGTCCAGAATACCTACATCATGCCGGTGCAGCGAAGAGGAGGTATTCATTCATTTGAGATGTTAAAAAGGTTCATTCGTAATGCTTGTAAAGGTCTATCGGCAATCTTTTAAGATTCCACTCTGGCAGCCCCATGCTGCGGCAGCTGTGGTGGCTTGCCCGTTCTCCTAACCAAGTGCGGAAGGAAAGTCAAGCCGCCGCGGCTGCTGCTGCACAGTGTTGGCGGTAACGTGTTACAAGTAACGTCGTTACCGGTAGCGCCTTTTTTCTTTCAGTAACGTAGTAACGTATTCATTAGTTTTCTAAATCTACAAATTTTCTAAATTTTTCCAATCCTTTCCCCACGAAAAAATTTCCGCTTTAGAAAAACCCCAACCAGCGCCTGTCATGTTAAAGTCGAAACACGCTGTCGCCAAAAGAAAACAAAAGCGCTGTTACCGTCAATTTATAAAAAAAAGTAACGCAAAAGTAACGTGCGTTACGTTCTATCGGCGACAGTATCGCGTTCCTTTATTTCGCAAGTAACGTAGTTCTTTACTCTTTTACGGTAACGACTACAACACTGCGGCTGCTTACCGCTGCCAGTACGAAGCGCCGGGTGATAGCGTGTCGACATTCATAATGATCGCGACTGTGTTTTAGTGACGCTGGAAGGGTCATTCACACACCCACAGATTATTAGGTTACACAAAATAGCATTCAATAAGCTCGTGGAACAGGGATGGGCAAAATACATGCAAATATGTATCGAAATACAAATACAAAATACTTCGTCAAAAATTTATTTAATTACAATTCTAATTACAATTCCAAAAAAGCATTTAACTACAAGATACAAATACAGTCAAACGTATTTGGTCTCCTTCAAATACTTTTTCAAATACATTCCTCAAAATTTGCGTCAGCGACTTCAGGGCACCGCAACGGGTTTCTGGTTATCTCATTTTAATTTTGCATCGCACACTCGGGAGTTAGTGTGCGAGGCTCTAGTAACGTAATTGAAATATAATCACAAAAAATGTAATCAGCTTGGACGTAATAGGTTAAAAAAGTACAGAGCTTCAAGCAGAATTTTTTGTCGATTACATTTTGGTATAGACCAACAAAGAACAGGGACGACCAAGATGCGCAGCACTAGCTAGAGAATTTTTTATTGCTGCAACTAGCACCAGTTACGACAATCTGGACGACCCGCGCATTTAGAATGTTCCAGGCAAAAATATGGATGGAAATCAGGCTGGAAAGCATCACACGTTGTCACGGGCACTTGTTTAGCCAGCCTGCCTGTGAACGTCGATTTCGTCACTACTCTTGCCCTGGACTAGCACCGTAATCACAAAGTCACTAAACGCTTGTGCTTGATTGAGAGACACTGCATTTGGCGCAGAACGTAGTTTTCTTCCTGCTCTGGACAATGACAATAAATTTGAGGGATGTATTTTCGCCCACAAAATTGTATTTAATTACAATTGTATTTGAAATACCCACGTTTTAATATTTAAATACACACTTCAAATACATTACCCAATTTGTAATTAAATACAAAGTATTCAAAATACGTGTTTCAAATACTTGTATTTGAAATACTGCCCATCCCTGTCGTGGAATAATCGTTGTGCACCTTAGAAACTTGAAAAATCGCTAAGGTACACAGTAATTATTTTACCAGTGATTTGAAACAGCAAAAAACGCGGTTCTATATCGACAATGATGTGGACATTTGCCAGCCTATAGCTAAACTTCTAAAGCAGGGGTGGCCAGGCTGACCCGGCCTAAGACCAGAAAACGAAAACCCCCGAACTTCCAAGAGCCGCAAGGGGGGGAGGGGGGGGGGGGGGGGGGCAGGCAAACTTTTGTTCAGTGCAGTAAACAAAACTCGAGCAACTTTTTTTCAATCAATCCGAGTAAAAAGCAGTCCGACTGTACGTAAGGCAGCAGTAGCACGAGGCTACCAAACTGCAGCCTGTCTTTCGATTTAAAACGCGGTCCATTTCACTTTTTATGGGGGGGGGGGGGGGGGCGGTGAAGCCGCGAGCCGCACTTTAACACGCGAAGAGCCGCAGCTTGGCCACCCCTGTTCTAAAGCTTCAATCATTTGGAACAGCCAAACATATTTTGGGCTATTTCATGCGTCGAAAATTATTTATAGCATTTGTGAAAGCTACTAGATGAACCGGAACTGAAGGAAAAAATACAAGTTTGTAATATAAATAAACAACTCGGCATGGTACATTTCTCTGATATCAAATACTATGTATGCGGTATATTTTTTCGGTTTGGTGCAGACCGCTAATTAAAACTTAATGAAGTTTCCACGTGGAGAAAACTTTGTCTACCACATCAGACTCCTTACGTTTTCCACCTTCTAAAAAACCGAGCCTACAAAAAGGTTTTCTATCCGTGTGGGACCGTTCATGAATCTGTGAGGGTGTGCTAAGAGGGTACGAGGCTGTATGACTGTTTTCCCGTGTGCTTCTTCTCATACCTGGTGTTGTTAGTTCCGTGGGCACCATAAGATTGGCGGCAGAAGTCGCACCGCCGTCCGTCCTCCCCTCCTGGTCCATCTTCAATGGTTGTCTCTGCAATTCGGCTCCTTGGAAGGAGAGCTCCGCCCCCTTGTCCTCGTAGTCCGTTCTCTGCCATTCGGAGTCGGATGCTGCGTGGGCAAGTTCTGTTAGGAGTGAAGATCAAATTTTGTTTTGTTCATTTTTTTATACTATACCAATACAGAAGCTCAATCACAACGAAACTTAAGGAACAAGCAAACATAAACACATCATGATGATGAAGTAGAGAAATTCAGGGGTTTACATTGATATTGCGGTGTAATTCAAAAAGTAAAATAATAATATCACGATCAAACACCCGCACCATAACTTGATACTGAATACACCGAAAACGTCGACTGTAAAAATGCACGTGAATCAAACATAAAAGTGATCCTTCTCTATTAATACGTGCTTCGAAGGTTTTACTTCACCTTTAAACATACGGTAAAAGATTACTTCGATACAGATCTACATAAATCACGAAAGACACAACTGGGTACGATCAAAGAGCGTGGTTTAGTTACATCGCTCCTGCTCTGTAGTGCTGAAAAAAGGCAGGCATGCCACAAAACCAACAACTGCACGGTATATCGCCGCCACAGGTTTTGAGAATTACACGTGAACAAAATGGACATGGTGTGTCGGCGAACGAAGGTAGGGACGGGAATGGAAATGTTGCATGTAGTTGGCTGAGCTGTGGCCATTTTCTATTTGATCCGACTAGTAGGTCCCATTTATCTGGGAAAAACGTAGCCCAAGGTTCTGGCACTGCCATAGGTTGGTCTGGCTGGTGGCTGGCACTCTTTCCCAGGCAGCGAAGGATCGCTCACGCTTGCTTTAAGAGGATTTCCGGATAGTTCGCCCTGCAAAGTTTAGAAAGATGAGGGTTAATAAACAGTCGCCAACACAAAGTTACTTTACCTGCCCTCAAATAGCATCACATTGGATGAGTGCAACTAAAACTGAAGGATACCAGTGCCTGGAATCGGTCCAGTTGGCTATTCATTACTTGATTAAACTGCGGAGTAAATGATTATGAATTACGATGCAGAGACGAGAAAAAGAAGGCAACAAATGGGAAAACGCGCCTTTGCAGTTCAGTTTAATCAAGTAAAATCTGAAGGCCAATTTCGAGATTAAACAGGGCATAAATAATAACACCATTTGTCAGTAGGAGGGTATCTGCGAGAAATTTCAATCTGAAGGACGCGAAAGAAATAAGTCCCATGTGACTACACCACTTCCAAGTGTGAATGTTTTGGCCAAATGACACTGACCATTACTATTTCTACGAGAGATGTTTCATTATATATGCAGCGTCAAACCGCTAGCAAGGAGGAAAATTTTTGCCGGTTCCGTCTGTGCCGCATACACGCGACTAATGCCACCATTTATAAAATGATATGTAGTGTAGATCAATCATTCAGTCTCGCATTTTGTCAACAACTAACATAAGCGGGGCCCACTTAGGGAGAACGAGTTTTAACTGAGATACTTGGTTCACGTTCACGAGTTCCCCATAGAACCGCATTGGTAAAAAGCCTTTTAGATCATCCTGAAGTTGAATATAAAACGCTATAATTTGGTTAAGGAATCTTCATTATAAATTTATCACCATTCAACACGAGTACAAAAGTTTACAGTCCCTATTGCAAAGCAAATGTTTTTTTTCATTTCTTTTTATTTCTTCCAACTCAAGACAAGCTTGAGTGGCTTTCTCCTCTTGATCTTAAGAGAAGGTGAAACGCTTCTTCCGAAAAATGAGATAGAGGTTGATTTCTGCGTTGTTTGATCCCGTAATTCTAAAGATTTTGTTCGTTTTCCCCGAAGAAGTAACTAAACGCGAGAACACGCGAAAAACGTCCGACCAGTCGTTACGTCATAAAAGGATCTTTCGGCCGCCATGCGCGTGTCGCTCGTGAGCAATCGCAGGCTTGCCACTCCCCCGCACTGGCAGCAATCATGACATCTTTTATTGTTTTGTTTTTTCCTTTTTTAAAAATAGGAAGAGTCGCGTGCATAACTTCGATAGGCACTGAAGATGCGCGAGAGCGGAGATTCGGAAACTCCTTTCATGACTGCACGCTCCGGGAAGGAGGGGCTCAGCGGTACTTTAAAAATTATTTTCTGCTGCCTCCATGCATGAAATTGAAAAATAATTTCAACATTGGGCTTCCTGGAAGCCGAATTAAGACAATATAAGTGTGTTTTCTTAATTACAAGACCGCTTCAGCTTCCCTTTGAAGACATCTTATCTTCGAGACCGCCATAGCTTTACACATTTCGAATCCCTCGTTAGTTCATTCGTAGTTTTGTTTATGCATTTTAACAACTTCAACCCACCTCCTCTCTAAAGTCTTCCCGGACCCTGAGTGCACGGTTCAGGCTGGAACATGGCTCTTATTACTAATTCTGTTCAGCCCTGTTCCGCCAGCTTCTCAAGACCAACTTTAGGGGTCGGTTTTGGTACCTGGTGAGAGCGATAGCATTCTCGGTTACTGATTGGACATGACGCCTCAGCGTTTTGCTGTGCGAGAGTTATCGACAAGTGCGAAGTCATGTCACTAGATAATCTCTAGTCTGTTCGTGAGTCCTTTTGGTGAGAGCTTCTCACTAGCACACGGATGGTGACAGGGTTCTCGAGGTATTTAAAGCATTTGTCCCGAGTACTGCATACATAGGAGAACTTGACCTAAATAGGGCAGCAGAGCTGGAAATTTGCAGAGGGAGCGGTTGTTGTCGACCCCATCGAACGGAAAGTATAGCAGACCATCTCAGTTTCAGCATGCGTCCCGTATCACTTCCTCGCGGCACTCGGCTTTTAGCAGACGGCTGCCTTTATTCCGGTCTGTTAACAGAATACGTGAAAGTATTTTCTTGTTCTATTTTTGTCTGCGAATGCCGCTTCGTAGCAGACGAATTCTATTGTTCACTCACGTTAGCAGACTAATCATCTTCTGACGTTTTCTTGACTCGCTCCGTAAAGTCCCGGTAAGACTGCTCGTACAGCAAGCAAAAAGCAGTCTGCAAATACCATCTCAGGCGCGTTTCTTTCTCGTGTCATCTCACATTGGGCCTACCAAAACTGTCTGCGGACGTGTTCAAAGCACCCATACGTGTGTGCTTTGAACAGATCTGCAGATATTTTTCTTACGACCCAATATGAGAGTACTTTCATAAAGGAACGAATTTTGGCAGTTGACACACTTGTCACTGCTTACGACCGGAGGGGCTTGTGAACCATCTTGTGACTGCTGATGACCGGCCGCTGCGCTGCAGGTCATAAGACGTCGCCAGTGTTTTAAGCATCTGCGGTTGTAAGCATGACAATAAAAAATTAGTATACCTGCCTTTACTTGAGCAAACAATAAAGCAAACACGCAGATAGTGCACGTTGCTTCACCGTTTTAGAAATAAGGCACCACTTTCAGAAATTCTACATAATAAACCAAAAGTGAGACACACTATTTAGTTTGTCCGCATTAAGGCATACTTTGAGGGATTGTGCAGTTTCAATCAATAAATGTATGAAAGGCTTTGAAAGGGGTTGGAGGGGCCCCGGGGGGGGGGGGGGGGGGAGGGGGGGGGAGGGGGGGGTGAGGGCGGTAAATAGGCAAAGTGAGGTAAGGCAGACAATGGAAAGTTTACACGCAGCAGGCTCAACTGTAGCCATTTCATTTGATCTGACTCTGTCGCATACGTGTAAAGAAAAAAATGTAGCACAAAGACGTTGCACCACCGAAGGGGGACTCGGCTGGTGACAGGCCACCTTTCCAAAGCTGCGAAGTGTCGTTCACATCTGCGTCCAAATTCCTGCCGAGTTTGATCTGCAAGGTTTAGAAAGACGACGGTTAATAAACAGGAAAGAACGGAAAGCGACAATACTTGTTTGTACCTTTAACTACATATATTCAGCAAACTGAAACTGGGTTCGAAATTTAAAAAAAACAAGCATCGCAAATGAGGAATGAAAGAGTACAATTAAGATTTGCATTTGAATGAGATGAGTATGCACTTATCACCCCAACCAGGTAATATTGAGAGCCAACCTGGAGAATCAGTACACAAGATGTATCGTCCACTTCAACCGCTGCTATACTATGCTGTGATTGAAATTCTGTTCTCGTGAATTTGACACGCCGTATTTCGAAAACACAATGAGTATTAAAACTTGGTTTGGGGCTCAGGCGTATGAAGATGCGACCCATTAGGACTTAGATTAATGAGGGTGAATGCAGTACAGCTGCGTTTGCATCTTCGGGTGTCAGTCGTCCCAGCTCTTTCTTATTCTTAGAAGTTGTTTAGATTTCGATGTCTGCTGTGTGAATCTTCTTTCCTTCGTCATTCTGTACTGCCTTGGTCGACTGTTAAAGAGACACATCATGTATGAGATTAATAAATTTTGGTGTTTTCTAGCTGAGTAACAACCTTAGGTGTCTACTTCTGCTGGTTGATAACTCCAGTCCTGAACAACAAGACAACAAGGCTGAAGAGGCAGTGGTGGCTCCAGAGTAGAATGCCTGAATGTTGCCAGGCGGCCCTCACAGAGTGGTGGCAACACTTGCATCTGCTAACGGAGACGCCACCTTATCTTCCGACACCACAAACTATTGTCCCGACACTACTACCTATTGTCCCGACCAGCCCTTGCGGAAGGATATGAAGATCGACCGTATGCATCAAGTTCCCGTTTCTCAAGAACGGTTCGACAATCGTGTGGAGTCGTTTGTGGTTGAGGCGCTAGAGTCATATACTAACAGCTGTGATATACTAACAGTGAAACGCAAAATAACTAAAACTAACGTAAAAGTAACATTTCTTAGTAATGGCAAGTAAGGACACCGGTAAATCGTTGCATTCGAAAAATGGTAATGGAGCCCTGTAACACGTTAGCTTTTTTGAAGCTAACGAGTAACGATATTTTGTTACTTATTTTCGGTAATGGACACAACACAGCCTGGAATCCTCTTGCTGTTCAGGTCCGATAATAGCACGAGGCTCGCTGGAGCGCGAACGTTATCGCCGGCACGGCCCTTGAGTGACGCAGACAGGCCCGCACAAAGAAGCGCCACGAGCTGCATGAAGAAGCAAAAGGGATTAAACGACTGCATTGCTAGTACATTCACATGCCCACTGAAGGGTAAAGGAGAATGCCAGTTGCTTTTAACTTGCGCCAAGAGTGATGTCGATGTTGATGGAGATGATTGAGCCGCCATTGCCGACCTTCTGTTTTCTTACCGAGATGTCGAGCTACTGAAGCGGGCGTTGACGAGCCTCCACAAAGGCCTATGCTGGAAAGAAGGACACAACAACAGCTAAAGGAGCAATAATTGACCTGTCCTGCTGTGGCAAGGATGAAGTGAAGTGATCGGAATAAAACAACAAAAACGGGAGGTCTGTTATTTCGGCGAACATCCACAACTGCCTGAAAGCGTATATAGGGAGTATTCACTGGACGCCATATTTGTGGGT